ATGGGTGATATGAATTCCCCTGACATCAACTGGGAGGAGCAGTCGGCCAGGTCTAGCCACTCACTCAAGAAGGTTCCTGACATGCGTACAGGACCTACACCTCATGCAGGAGGTACTCATCCCCACTAGGGGAAATGCCATACTGGATCTGGTGTTAGCCTCTGGGGACGACCTGGTGGGGGAGGTGCTAGTACAAGGGAGGCTAGGGGACAGTGATCATGAAATGATCCAGTTTGCTGTTCAGAGAAAGGTGGGGAGGTGTGACAGTTGTGCCTCCCCGGAGCCATCTATTCGTGGTCCTGCAACACCGATCAAGGGCCAACTGCCCACCTTCTCGTCTGCCATGCCTTGTTATTCGCTTGATTGGAAGATCTTAATCAAATGGCAGGCTGCCTATTTTCTGTCTCAGTGCCTGAGGCACTATCTGCGGCTCCTTTCCTCCCCTTACACTGCAGCCCAAGCCCTACAGATGTATCTGGTGTTGTTCAGGTCCGTTCTACTCTCTGCGCCGCGCGGACGCTTTCTGGCTTATCCCTCAGCCTGCACCCTCACCAGTGCCCTCTAGCTCATCTCACAGCCCGCAACCCTACCGGCGCCCTCTAGCCTGTCCTGCACTGCTCGTTTTGGGACTTCTCGCCCGTGCCAGCTCCGGGCTCCTCATTGCCCCCTTCAGTCGGGGCTCCTTGCTGTCCCCTTCAGTTGGGGCTTCTCACTGCCCCCTAACTCCGGGGCTTCTCACTGCCCCCTAACTCCGGGGCTTCTCACTGCCCCCTAACTCCAGACTGGGGCCAATGCACCCCAAACAATGCTGTGCCCTCTCCAGTGCCAGGAACACCCACGCTACTGTGGAGTCCCTATAAGGCCTCCTCCAACCCCTAATAGCCTCTCCCGGTCCTCCGGTAAAACCAATAAAAACAAGAATACAAAGCCCCCGGGCTACAACATAAAACCTAGGCCATCCTGGTCAAAAAGTAAGAATCCATCTCTACCAGAGACAGCGAGCACACCAGCCCCCAGCAGGAACCAGGGGAAGTTCCCACCATCAGAGTTCTCCCCTTTGTGCTGGCCGAGTTCCTCCTACCTCAGCCGCTGGAGGGAAACTGCCCTCCTGGCCTCCTGCCTGGGCTTAAGAAGGGCTAAACTCCACCCCTTCCTGTCTCTATGTTTCCCTGGTTGCCCTGGCAACCAGCACCTGCGCAGTCCTGGTGACTGGCAGCTGAGCTTCCCCCATCCTGCCACTAGGGGTCTCTCCCGAGCCGTTTCTGCTTTCAGTTGCAGGGCACCTAAGAGCGCTGCAACAGGAGGATAACTAGCACAGTGCAAATGCTTGACTTTAGGAAAGCCAACTTCGATGTGCTCAGGGCAGTAGTCAGGGAGGCACTTGGAGCCCAGGGTGTAGCTAGTATGGGGGTCCAGGAAAGGTGGTCCTTCCTCAAGGAGGCTATCCTTGGGGTGCAGCAGGATGAAATTCCTCTGCACAGGAAGGTGGGGAAAGGGTCCAAGAAAACTTCATGGCTGAGCACAGATATGCAGGCTGGCCTGAGGGCAAAGAAAAAAGTGTACTGGCGGTGGAAGCA